CTACATCCACCCTGCAACAGACCGCCCCTCAACTGCGCAGAGAGTCGACACTGTCACACGGGAACCCAACTCTTAGCTCTTGACTACAAGTTCTGAACTCACGCCCAGCGACACGTCCAGATCACCAAAACACAATTAAGCAGTTTGGCTTCCTCGGAGAATAGGGATGGGAGGGAGGCCTTGAATAAACGGGAGGTGGGAGAGGACGGAGGAGAGAGAGAGAGGACGGGGAAATGGTCAGAGGCGCAGAGGCTATTCGATGGGGTTTCGGGGCACAGGATAATGCTGTGGATTTTTATCTTTTATTTTTTATTTGTCTTTTTTCAGTTATCGGAGACGATGTTGTGTGTGCGTATGAATACATGTAGATGAAGGTCTGTTCATGAAATAAGTGGGGGATAATATTACATTACGGTAATGTCATCACTCTTATTATCATCATTATATGTATTATTACTTTTACTTTTTACCATTATCGCTGTTACTATTATAATTTTAATCATTACTGCTGTTACTATTATAATTTTAATCATTATTAGCATTAATGTTATTATCATAATCATTATCATCATCAATACCATTATCGTTATGATTATCCTTATACCCCTATTACCCACATTACCCCTACTACCCTAATTATCCTAATATCATCGCCATTACCATCACCACGTAAAAAGTACCCAGGGACCGCGCGCGCGTTCCTCCCGCCGTCGCCTCCCGCACTGAAGTCCGGAGACGCTTTCGGGCCGGTATCGAAAAGCTGTCACGGCGAGGACGGGGCGCGACATCTAGACGGGAGCCCCGCGAAGTCAGAGGGACGGGTCTTCCTTCCTTCTCTGCTGGCTGGATGTCCTCCGAGGACGCCCTAATCGCTAACTTGGGTGTCCCTCTGCTAGCCTCCTTGGTGGATGTCTGAGGGATCCTAACTAGCGAATTTTAGGCGTTTCCGCAGATCCTACTTAGGTATCCTAGGTGTCAACCAAGGGAGTCCTATTGGTGTTCTAGATTTCAGTTAACAAATTTCCGCGCACAGTCCCATGAAGTCCTACTCCTGGACGTTTTAAAAGCCATGGTAATTTTTAAGGCCTCGCTAAGTAGACCATCGAATTCCTTTAGATGTCACACTACTAGTTCCACTATACGTATTTCGTCTTGCTATTTTCCTCATCGCTTTGCTAACTTCTTTTAAATTATTTTTCTATGGACTCTTTCGGAGGGATAATACTTGTTTTACCCAAAGGAAACCCTCCTTTTCTTACCCTCTTCTCCCTTTCATTCCTCATCTCAGCCTCACCTTCTGCTCCTTCCTCTCCCTCCCTCCCCTCCTCCTTCCTCACCCCTCCTCCCCTCCCCCCCCCACCCTCCCTGATCCTTCCCATTGCGCGGTAACTTCTTCATCTTGGGGATAAACAGGTTCAACTTCTTGGCACATCCGGGACCTGCGAGGCGTCTCTCTCTCTCTCTCTGGCTTCTTTTCTTTCTTTCTAATACTCTCTTTATATATATTTATCTCTCTTGTTTCTTGTTCAATTTCTCTCGAATACTCTTTCTCTCTCTTGCTCTTTTTCTCTTTGCCATTAATACTCTCTCTCTCTCTCTCTCTCTCTCTCTATCTATCTCCTCTCTCTCTCTCTCCTTCTTGCCCCTTTTTTCTTTCTCACTAAAAGTCTCTCTCACTCACCTTCTTTTTTCTTTATATATATATATGTATATAATTATCAATTCCTACCTCTTGGTATTCATTGTATTAATTTGTAGTAGTTTCATGTCTCTCTGCCTGTACACAGTGATACTACAATTTGAGTTTATTTATAATTAACATGAGCGCAGTAACAACATAAAGATAGATTAGAGCTTGGACGTACAAACACTCTAATGTTTTCAAAAGCAATTCACTTTTTTCATAATGAAATGGATAGTTGAGTGTTTACAGAAGCCAATTAATGACTGTTTATTCGTATACAAAATTGGTTATATGATTTTTTTTTTTATCAAGCGCTACTTCCCACTTGACCAAACGTACTCTCATAATTCAATGATACCACAGTAAAAAGCCTTTGCGATATTTTTAATGTAATTTACTTCTAAACGTCAACAAAAATATTTATGCTATACGCTGATAATGGAATATTTCCATACCCACAATACAAACCCTTTTTGGTATGACTATTCCATCAAAATATTTGTATTCATCAACCACTAATATAAATCTATAACTTCCCACTCTCTTAGTATCAACCATTTCCGTTTTCGTGTAAGACAAACATTTTATTTTTACTTCCAAACATTAAAAAAAAAAAAAAAAAAAAAAAAAAAAAAAATTCAGCCATGCATGTTTACGTATTTTACTTCGAAACATCGTAAGAGAATTTCCGATCATGTACTTTTTCGTCTTTTACTTCCAAAAATCAAAAGAGAATTTCCAATTACGTACTTTTTATGTGGTTTACTTCCAAATATCAGCAGCAAAGTATTCCCCTAACTTCTAACACTTAACCACTATTTTTCCGACTTCACGCAAACATATCATATCTGTATAATATAAACTTTAAATGCATTTTAACTCCAAACATCAACACACTATGCATTTCAGTAACTTTCCAATCTCTCGCAATAACAATTACTGTCTTTCTCATCTCAGATTCTTTCGATACATTTTTATTTATTCTTTAAAAAAGTTTTTAATTCAAAACATCAGCGTAAAAATATTCTATCAACCTCCCACACTCTCTCAATATCAAATATTGCCGTTCTCTTCTTTAAAAAAATTAAAGAAAAAAATCGAAAATGATTATATTTTATAATGGACTTTTATTTTCTTAACAGAAACACAATTTCACAAATTTTGTACCAATTACTGTTGTTCTTTTCCCAAACAATCCCTTTGGTATATTTTTAACATGGTCTTGGATAGAATTTTACTTCCAAACATTAACGCACAATATTCCAGCAGCTTCTCAGTATCAATTATTGTCATTTTATTTACATACACAAAACAGTCTTCATTATTTTTCATTCTATTTTCACTTCCAAACTTCAGCACAAAAATACTCCGACAACTTCCCACGCCCCGGCAATGTCAGTCATTGTTGCTCCTTCTCGAACCAACACCCTTGGCACTTCCTCCTCTGGTCTCTGCGGTTCTAATTGCCTAATTGTTTCTGGATTGCAGTTCGGTATACAGCTCACTTGAGTCAGTTTCCGCTGTTGTGACGTTTGTGGGAACTTCGCCTTAATTAAGTGCTCGTTGGTGTTGTAACTGTTGTTGTTCTTGTTTTGGCCGCCGTCGGTATTCATGCTGTCATCGTTGTCGCTGTTATTGTTGTCATTATCTTCATCACCATCGCAAATGTTGGCTTTATCATCATTACTATCTTTTATCATCATTACAAATACCACTATCATATTTCATGGTTAATATATATCATTACCATTCTCTATTATATACTGTTTGTTTATTACAATAACATCAATAATAATAGCAAGATCATTAGAATTAAAGCCTATTTAAAAAATCCGGTTTCTCATCAGCGCCAGCATCAGAAAATCGCCGCATAGTTTTTTTTTAATTTTTTTTATTTTTTTTTTTTTATCCAAAATGTTCGCCGAAGATGCGCCCAAAGAGCCGCCGTTCTCAAAGTGTCTTCGCGTTCTCCCGGGCCGAACGTACCGTGGTTTCGCGGCGAAATCAAGTGGCCGGTCGACCTGACAAAACGTTTCGCGAATCAAACCCGGGCGAGAATTGGAAGTGGTTCCCTTCGCTTTGAGGCCGTTTGTAAACAGCCAAAATGAGCGACACTTAGAGCCTTAAAGTGATATCTGTCCAAATTGCAACACAGGTTTCAATCTTCCTTTCTATCTTGGTTAGTCACTAAAATGGCAAAAATGCACCTATGGGTTTTTCCCGCCAAGGATGGAATCGGTCCTCGAGCTGTAAAACTAGCAAAACACTCAAATGTATCCACAAATTACCTTTAGTTAATTGAAAATTACATTTTTGTACACGCAGAGTTGTCCATTTTATTGGCATTACCTATAAATAGTAATCATATTTGGCCTCGATACAACAATAAAGAAAAAAAAAAAATCGCGAGCCGCATTTGAATTTTCAAAAAGTTCTGATGAGAAACCGGGATTTTTAAAATCCGGCCGAATAGCATCGAAAAAAAACGAAAATTTCAAGGAAAGTGAAATCAGATGAAGCCACCACTAATTGACTCCTTGGTGGCGGAGTCATTTCAGAAAACAGAAGGTGAACATTCAAGATCCCGGTGACAGTTGGTTATCTTTGTTATTAATAGTAGTATCAATATTATCATTAGTGTTATCATTATCTTCATTATTATTATTATTATTTATTTTCATTGTTATTAATATCATTACTGTTTTTCTTGTTATTGTTTTTATTATTATTATTAGTAGTAGTAGTAGTAGCAATGTTATTGCTATTTTTATTGTTTTTATTATTATTGTTATTACTATCGTCATCATTACTATTGTTATTACCATCCTTACTACTTACTGTCATCATTTCTTCTTTATTTTTGCTTTATTTCACGCGTCATCTTCTTTGTCATGATGACACTTTCAGATCGGTCTATGATGTCAGATAAGACGGCTACAAAAGGTCAGGAATCAGCCAGGGCGAAGGTCACACATACTATACACATACTCATACAAACACATTCATAAACAAGCACAAAGAGACACAGTAACGTACACACAAACGTGCTTACACGTACACAAATGCAAGCTCAAATACACCCATACACAAACATACACGTACACGGACATTAAAAAACAAATACCCCCCCCCGACACACACACACACGCACTCACACACACACCACTCCACACACACACGCACTCACACACACACACACACACATCACACAACACACACACCACACACACACACACACACACACACACACAACACACACATACACACACACACACACACACACACACACACACACACACACACACACACACACACA